ACCATTAGGAGCCCTAGTGGCACAGTGGTTACCTGCTCAGCTGTTAACCAAAAATTGGCGGTTTGAACCCACCCAGAGGCCTCCCAGGAGAAAGACCTGGCAATCTGCTTCCACAAAGATTACAGCCTAGGAAACCCTATGGGGCAGTTCTACTCTGTCACAATGAGTCTCAACTAAATAGGTCTCTATGAATCGAAAATCGATTCCATAGCACCCAACAACAATAAAAATCACCACTGGACTCGAACATACCAACTATAATAAAGATGGCATAGGACCGGGCAACATTTCATTCTGTTATATGTAAGGTCGCCATGAGTCAGAATTGACTCAAGGGCAACTAATATCGCCACCATCACCACCATTAACATGAAGAAAGAGAAATTTCAAAGTGTAATATTTAAGAATTTAAAACAAAAAGGATAATGGGAACAAGGCTCTAGGACTCCTTGCTTCATTCTTTCAACAGCATTTATTGAGTACCTACTATATGCAGTACACAAGTGTATGTTCTGTGAAAGATGCTAAGGAGGATCCCATATGTATCCTGACAGGCTCCTAAAGAACCTACTGTCTGGAAGAGAGGACACACGTGTGAGGGACTAGAAAGCAAAGGGGAAGGTACTCTATTCCCAAATGTAGTCACAGATAAAATGCTACAGAAATTCAAAGGAGGAAGGAACCCTACCATCTACATCTGGGAATGAATAACTCAGTTTGCTTAAAACACATAACAGATTTTCTCGACTATAAGACTTACACAATTTATTGTCATTACTTGTTTTATGTTATCTATTTTCTCCATCAGACCATAAAATCCATGAGGCCTCAGGCCTTGCCTGCCTTATTCATTACTATATTTTCAAGACTGACACCATGGGTAGCAGGTAATATGCACTCAATAAATTTTTTTTAATGTGTGACTGAATTATCTTTTGATACTAAGTAGTAACTGAATCTGAACGTCCAGAAGATGGTTTTCTGAGCTTCTAACTCATGTAATTTCCTACATTATTGCAGACAGCCAATAAGACAGATGAGAAATTTGTCCAAAAATGCAGGACACCCCAATGATCATAGGTACTATATTTAATCAACACAATTGCCAAAACATAGCCATGATCAAATGACTATTGTTTTAGAGTTGAGGGTTTCCTTTTACTCTTTATTAATTTGATAATCAGTGATTACAGGTGATAAAAAGGAAATCTCTGCAGTTTTTCTTTCTCCTCTTTCTCTTCACATCCTTCCAAAGGAATAATACTTTGTTAGCTATCAAAATAATTTTATTTCACCGTTGTTCCAAGAAAGTTCATTTAGTTATCACTAATACAAGTAAGTTATCAATGGAAGTAAAAGGTTACTACAATAAAGATTACAAAACAAAAAATGCAAAAATAGGATATTAAGCAAAAATGATTAAAGAATAACTCAACCACATGAATTTAAATTCGTTTACAATGAACTATCTAGTGTTCAAATTATTTTTCTTTATCAAATATTATATGAAATATTATTAGCTAATATTTATTAAGCATTTATTTTCAGGCACTGCATATAGTATTACACAAATGTTACTTCACTAAAGTCTCATACTTACTTTATAAAGTAGGAATTATTTCCCCACTTTACAGATAAAGAAACGGAGGCTCGGAAAGATTATCCTAGAAGTTAAGGACTGCAAGCCCACTACAGTCTGAAACCCCAAACCATTTCCATTCCAACTGTTCCATACTCAGCAATCATTATATTATGAAAAGATTAAGTTTACTTTGGTTTAAAATTGTCAAATATTTCATAAGGAAATTCTTCTTAGTAGTGTTAAAAATAAGGTAAAAATTTACCACAGTCACAGATTTAAACAGCTCTTTCAAGTTAGCATAAAATGCAAAATACAAATTTAGTTACCTGACTTGAAAAATATATCAGTTATAACATACAATTTGTTATATCATGAAAAAATTAACTACACTACTTCAAAATACCATTTTGATTATGGGATAGCGCTATGCCTGAGGTTAGGGCTAGGCGAAGCCATGAAAGTTGGGTCTAGCTGTGGTTTAGTGAGCAAGTTAAGACATAAACAACAGGACACTTTTGACTAATTTCTCCAACATGCCTCTTGCTCTTACTTTTCCACTGTTTTCTCAAATATCTTGGCAACATAAATTACCTTCTAAAATGCTGAAAATGGATACTACTGGAAAATGTGTTCATGGGAAAAAATTGCTCTTCCTATTCCCATTTAGCCATACTTTTGCGGTGAGACACGAATAATTCTGACTGCAAAAACTGCACTCTTCCTGTTACAACATATTGCCTCCTAATAGCTTCTGCTACCTTTAAGAGGTCAGAACAAACCCTGCTCTTTGTGGTTCAGTGGTAGAATTCTCGCCTTCCATGCGGGAAACCTGTGTTTGATTCCCAGCCAATGCACCCATCTGTCAATGGAGTCTTGTGTGTTGCTACGATGCTGAGCAGATTTCAGTGGAACTTCCAGACCAAGGCAGACTACGAAGAAAGGCCTGGATCTACTTCTGAAAATCAACCAATGAAAACCTAATGGATCACAACAGGCTTATTCCCAACCAATCACAGGTATCGCACAAAACCGGGCAGTGTTTCGTTCCACTGTATGTGGGGTCATCATGTGTCAGGGGTCAACCTGATGGCACCTAACAACAACATACCAAGGATAGGAATGAAGGCTAATATTTTTGTGTCTTTAGCCTCTAAAGCACCAAAATAATTCTGTGCTTATTCTAAACTTGACCAAAAAGATGTTTAGAATAGTGCTGAAACAAGAAGGCTATTCTCTTTTACACTTACATGTTCCCCAAAATATTTTTAAAAATAAAAACTGCACTCATGATAACTCTATATTTTTAGCATATAATATGGAAAACAAAGGCAGTAGGGAGAAAAATAGAGAGGACTAGTAGAATCGTGTAGCGAAAAGAAAAGGAAAGAAGGACGGAAAGGGGGGGAGGAAAATAAAAAATAAATAAATAAATAAGCGAAGGACACAAAATCTTTTCTTTTATCCACACCCTTTGGTAAAGTTAGAGGTTTGCTTTAAGACAAAATTGCTGCCTTCAGTACTCAATGATATTTTATTTCTATGTAACTTCCTCCTCAAATAGGTTAATTACAGAGGCAATTAGTCTAGCTATACACAGGATGTCACTATTCTCTTATATAAACAGAACCAGCACACATGTTTCAGGCAGAGAAAAATATTTGTAAAGATTGAATTTCAAATTTTAAAGATTTCTGTGCTATGAGATGCTATTATACTCAGGTTTAGTAAAATTGCATTATTGTCATCATCCATATTTATTGGATAGCCTTTATGTTTTGTTAACACCATGGGAGTTCTACGTATGAACTAGGAAGTTCTGCTCAAATCAGAATAAAAAGTCTAAAAAGAAGCACAATTGTGGCACTGGGTAACTGAACAGGAATAAGTGAGACTTTATTAGCAAGGCAAATGACATGAAAAGGGAGTGGAACTGAAAAAACTAATTCTGTTTGTTTAAACAAATGTCCTGACCTATGCAGCCTCCTAGGTTTTTTTTATGTGACTCCTTTAATTTTAAATATTCAGAGTTTGGAAATTATTAAGTACTATGCTTCTGAGGGAGTGCTGGTGGCATGGTGGTTAAAATGCTAGACTGCAAACCTAAAGGTCAGCAGTTTGAATCCACCAGCCACTCCATTGGAAAAAGATGTGGCAATCTGCTTCCATAAAGATCTACAGCCTTGGAAACACCATGGGGCAGTTCTACTCTGCCCTATACTGTCACTGTGAGTTGGAATCAACTCCATGGAAATGGGTTTTTGTTTGTTTGTTTGTTTTTTATAGTTCTGAGAGCTAAGTGGTTCCATAACTTGAGAATTTTTTTTTTTAATGAGTTTTTCTAAAAATTGGGTATGTGTATCTCTGGATAGCTTGATCCAATCTTAGAGATATACGTAGAATTTATAGGAAGATTGTGAAATCACTAATAATGGTATCCATCTGAGCCTGAAACCCCTATCTACTGATTACTGTTTGCATATTTATCAAAACCACAGTGATGAAGTGCTGTTCGGAAGAATAAATTGCTGCATCTAGTACTAAACACATAATCATAGAGGGTACTCCATCCTTCTTGAAGGTGGCTACCCAGTATGACAAAAACGCAAGACACTGACACACACTGAACACCTATGGCTCATCAGCTTGCTTGTTTACTGTGGTATTAGTGCAAGCAAGGTCTTAGGTCAGGTCCTCACATTGACCAATACATTCCCTTCTCTTCTATAGCCACAGACTATTCTACTCAGTTCTGATTCACTGGCTCAAAAACAGTTTGCAACAGGGCCCGAGAAACAGGTGAATTTACCATCACTACAAGGAAAAGAACTCAAATTCCATTCCCTGCTCAGTGATGGCCCCAGTGCATTCTTTTACACAGGAAACACTGTATATTATTTACAAATTAACTAGCAGAGCAAATGCTTCAGTCCTAGGGTCACTCTGCTTAGGTCTGAATCCTGACCCCACCTCTTGTTAGCTATTTAGCCACGGCAAGTCACTTATTTTCTCTCTGCTCCAGTTCCCTTTGCTGAAAAACAGGGATAAAAATAATACTTGCTTCATGGAGTATTATGAGGTTTAAATTAGACGCTACCTGCAAAGCTCGAGAACAGTACTTGACATAAAGAAAGTCCTCAGTAAATGATAGTTATTACAATTATTTTGCAATGAACAAAAAAGCGATGGGACTTTTTCTTACATATGTACATATGTTATACATATAAATATATATATATGTAATCCATAGGTCTTGCATTTAAATTAACCCCCTATAAGAAAAAGCAGAATTTTAAATAGTAGTTAATATTCTATAGGATAAAAGAACTGAGCTTTCTACAGCTTTCCATCAGCACTATAAGGAAACAGCCATAGTCTGATCTGGTACTGCAGTCTCTCAGGGATTTCCATCCAGCCTTACCTGAATGTACAGCAGCAGCAACACAGAAAAGGGCCTTCTTTTTCTACTCCAATGAGACCAAAGCTACTGCAGATGACACAGCACCAGTAGGAAATGGAGTGATCTCCCTTCCAGAAGATCAACAGTGCCACTGAGAACTTCTTAAATAACTTTTTTTGTAAAAGGTCATTGGCTTTATTGCTTCTACTTGATCTTTTTGCCTTATTTCCTCTAGGGAGTTTGAAAGTGGGTGGGTAAGTCAGCTTCGCAGCTAAGCCAGCTATAGGCAAATAAGTTGTTTTTCACTATAGTGTCTACAGATATAGAGACATGTGCGTATGTATATTCTCTCCCATGCATGGGCCAGGATAGCAGTAGAAAGTATGACAATTGAAAGTATATTACAGAAGGTATAAAGGAGCACATTAGGAGCTCAGCAATGTTTACTTTGATGTGACAGTTTCATAATCTTTTCACTTGGAGATTGCCTACTGCGATTTAGTCCCTTTGTGAAGGACAGGAACCTCTAGATCTAAAAATTACTGATCTCGTATTTTCAGGCACTGTAACAGTCAATTTGGACTGACTTCACGGGTAACCAGATCAATTGTGTAGACATGAATACTTAAGAAGCCATGGGAGAAGGCAATCAACTGAAACATTTAGCCTATAAAACGGACTATAATCTCACTATCAGAATAGACTCCATAAACACAACAGAATTCTTCACAGCCAAGTTCATTTTTACACAAATTAGGGCACAGTACAGAGCAAATCAGCCCCCATGCCAGACCTGTGTGGTAAATGGAAAAGTCTCAAACTGAAGGCACTCGTGTCAGACATAAGAATGATGGGGTCAACACGCATTCCCAGGAAGTAAAAGGTCAGGATGTAAACAATTTGATCCCGGGAAAATGTGTTGATGACTGCAATCACGCACAAGGTCCTCGGCTGGGCTGTGCCACTCACATAGGTGGTAATTCACTCCCTCCTAGCCAAGTGGCCGACCTTTACATTTCAAAGGACTTCAAGCTGATGCTGAACTTATCTATAATCAGTCATTAACATCCTCTCTTTCCTTTGTTCTCTCTGTGTGTAGGCCCTTCTATTCACTTGAACAACAGAGTGCTTTGTATTTTTACTTAGCACTGTCCAGCTCGAACTATATTATTCCTCAATAAAACTCCTTTTCTTTCACTCCTAACAGAGTACAAGACTTTCTTCTTTGACAGTGTGATTGATCAGGGAAGCAATCAACACCAGGAGTAGCATACACAGCAGCCCAAAAAAGATGGAAATTCTGGTGAGGGAAGGTTTAGTTTCTACTCAGAAGCACAGGAAATGCTCCTTTCAGCCAGAAACCCTATTAATCTGGCTGGTCAATTATATGAGTGCTAGTCTTTATCCCAGGAGCCCTGGTTACGCAGTGGTTAAGAGCTCAGCTGCTAATCAAAAGGTCGGGGGTTCGAACCCACCAGCCACCCCATTAGAGAAAGATGTGGGAATCTGCTTCTGTAAAAATTATAGCCTTGGAGACCCTATGGGGTAGTTCTACTCTGTCCTGTAGGGTCACTATGAGTCAGAATCAACTCGGCGGCACACAACAACAGTTCTTCCCCCTCTAATTCAATATTTTAGACAGGTTTGGTATTTAACAATTACTGAGATATAAAATTACCAATTATGTAAAGATTATTTTTTCAAATTCTTTAGGGGGTCAGACAGAAAATCACCAAAAGCTAAAATATTTGGCAAGAAATAAGAGCTGTTAGTAATAACAGCATTATACATCCAATAAAATGTCTTGATTCAGCAGTAAAATCAAGTGATTTGCAAACCCCATTCTTCAAACACTTCATTCACAGAAATATAAAAAATAAAAGTAATCAAATATTACTATTATGCATTAAATAACAATGTATTATGTATTCACTGATAATAAAAGTACATGTAAAATTACAGAGCTGTTATTCTATTATAACCTTTATCCTTATCTAAATAATTAAAATTTAACTTTGAAATGGTATCTCACAAAATTTTGATGAATTGCTTTTACTAATACTTTTGCCCTGTTTGCTACTTTTTCCCCTTTTTCTCTCTCATTTTCCTTTTGAATTTACTGAGCAAAAAGAAAAAAAAATCTCAGATTCATCGTTTTGCTACATATAGTTTCACTTTCTCCTCTAACTCTCATTTTGCCATCCTCCAGGGAAAACAGCCAGAAGTCATGCTGGATAGGGGCTAGAGTACCCTGTTCTTATGCAGTGTGAGTGTCTCTATGTATATCTCAGCTAGGCTTACCTAAGTCACCATTTACAATATTGAGTAGAAGGAACAGGTTGGAATAGTCAGCATTTACAAGTCAACTCGTTACATGATACAAAAATGTATAGCCAACTGCAGAATTTATAGCAATAACATTTATGTATCGTGTTACTCCTAGAACAATCCAATTTATAAAGTGCCTATTGTGTATACATAAGGAAGAATCATAAATCATTTACATTAAACAGTGTCAACAGGCAAACACAACTTTCCCCCTAAACTCTGCACACTGAGATTAATGCGGATTTTGAAAGGAAGCGTTCTACAAAAGAAAAATCAACTCTGATTCATCCTAGCTGGACAGCATACCCATATATAGGTGCAGGTGTCTGTAGTATGATTTAGAATACCTATGGAACATCTCTGGAAAATATTAGCTTTCTCTGAAGTAAAAAGATGTTCGCAAAGCAAGCTAGGAATGTGGCAAGAACCCAAATCTGTCACCAACCTCAAGGTTTCTTTTATTTCTATCTCAGTAAAGAATGCATTTAAAACAAACAAACAAAGAAAACTGTAAGGTCCTATTTGACCAGTTATCTGACATGTTTTCATCTACAGGCACTTTTAGAAATCCTAGGGAAGTTTGTTTAGATTAGCTGCTTTGTCTCTTTGACACCTAGTTAAAGAAGAATCCCAGTCAGTGACCAAAGCTATGAGAAGTCCTAATGTGAAACTCAAATATGTATGTGGATTTTCTCCCTCTGTTCATGCCCTAGCCCATCCCATAGTCAGAAAGGCAGTTGTCTTTAGAAATCTATGCTTTGGGGTACTGGATTAAACCCAATTCTTCTCTCCAAAAATTCCTTAAAATTAATAATGGGGAATGTTTGGACAATTCACACCTGTATAAGCATTTATTCTTATCTGAAACTCACAGCTGCACGGCTGAATTGGACATCATATAAGAAAAATATAGTCTGAATTTCTCTTAACAATATTTTAGTCCATCATCTTTTGTCTTAAGAAAGGATTACAGAAACATTTTCTTCCTGCCTTAGCCTACACCCCAAAAAAATCTATTATATTGCTTTAGC